TTCAAGCCATCCTGAGATGTTTGGGATTCCCCAGGTGACTCACACTGTTTCTAACCCTCCCTACACAGTCATTCTTTCACTTTAGTACCCAGATCAACAGAACAGTACTTCCTCTGAGCTCTTTTCTGAGAGCTGCCAAAGTCCTAGGGCATGGTTTCCATTCCTGCCAAGCTCTGAGAGGCAGGGTAGCAACTGTTCATGATGGCAGGTGACAGCACAGCTAGCTAGCATAGCGCCTGTCTATGCAGCCTCTAGTCAGTTTCATCCGCTTATCTCCTTTGCTGCTGACTGTGGAGCCTCTCGGGCCACAAAAACATCTGAGGCAAAGCTTGCTTGCTTAGGGGACTTATGAAAGGAAGATAAGAGCCACACATTAACAATCACATTGAATAATGCACAGTGCTAAGAGCCTGCATAGGGAAATAGGGCCTTACCTCCTGGGCTCAGTCAGCCGCTCTAAATGTCGAAGTTCATCACCTAGGAGACTAAGATTGAAATCCTGTATGGCTGTGCTGTAAATGAGAAGCATATCTAAAACTCTAGGAACTCTGCCTGGCCAGAGGCTCTGAGGGAAATGATGGTATGGACTGAAGCAGGCAGTGTACCCAGAGGCAGGTAAATTTTGCTAGAGGAGCTGAAAACAGGATTGATCACTGTGTGATGGTGGGAGCAGTTCAGTCGGGGGGTGGGGCAGAATGGGAGCTCAGTTTGGAAAGAAAACAAGACATCAGATTGGGGGAGGGGAAGGCATGTCTGACCACGCAGAACAAAGAGCTGATGGCGCCCAGAGGAGGACCATGTGTGTCTTGCCTACAGACTAGTTATGAGGCTAGTATTTGTACACTGATTTATATATGTGTACAGAAACATTTTTTCCAAATTTAAGGTGTCGATATTAATCTCTAGAGATATGTTTTTCTTATTTTAAAGGATTCTGCCTCTTTTCCCCTTTCTGTATTTAATATATATGGAGTCTATGATTTTGTTGTCAGTGTCAGATTGTCTGAATAATTTTGGGTCAGGTTAGAGATAGTTTATAAAATGGGCTGTACCATATACTCACCCAGGGAATCTGTCAGTCCTATGCACCTCCACACCCTCCCGGAGATGCTGAGAGTAGGTCCATGAGGGAGCAGAAGGGAAATCATTAAAATTTTCTCTGGTTGGGCTGGGAGGATTGCTTAATGGGTAAAGCATTTGCTAGCTACTCTGGGAAACTACCGGTTTAGAGAATCCACCTTGATCAGTTTTCAGCCAAGGCATTGTATATGTGCTGAAAACAAGGCAAATCTGCCTGAATTTTATAATGACTTGAATAGTTACGTAGAATTTGGCAATGTCCTCCATGGAAAAAAAAAAGTTTAGGAGAAACTTAGCATATCTTTAATTTCAACATAAAATCTCCCATGTGTGCAATAGAATGGTGTAGACAAAGAAAACGCTTGGCCAGTGAGGCTACACCTGCAAGTCTCAGGCTTCTCTTAAATTCCTCTGTTTACCTGGAGCTTTAGCTCTTTGCATGCCTCTGTCCCGTTCTGTGGGACCTTCCGGAACAGCCCGGGACAAGCCCAGGCCTATTTCTTCTGTGTCATCAACGGGCAGGTTTTAGAAGGCAGTTTGACCCATCATGTCTTTCGTTAGTCTTAGTCCTCTCCAAGAAAAGCATTCCAGTTTCTTCCACTGGTCCTCAGATAAGCACCTATGCCTTGGCTGAAAACTGATCAAGGTGGAGTCTCTAAACTGGTAGTTTCCCAGGGTAGCTAGCAAATACTTGACCCGTTACGCAATCCTCCCAGCCCAACAGAAGAAAATTTTAATTATTTACCTTCTGTGGTGTGGTCAGTTTCTATAGCATATGAGCTATTAGATCCACAGTGTCTGCATTCTGTTGGGCATGTGGATGAGAACCTGGCCTTCAGGGCAACGGGTCTTATGTTATCCCATAAGTGAGTAGGATGTGGGCCTCAGCATGAAGCACCTGCTCCTTAGGGCAATCAGCCCCCACGCTCAGGCTGTTCTTTCACGGAAGACTTGCCTCTCACTGTGCGCTGGAGACAATGTAAACAGATCAGCAGGATTATTTCCCCTGACCCCAGATAGGATATAACTGAACCTCAACCCAGAAGCCGCACTTGTGCTTTCTTCCCGTTAAGAAGAAGACATGGCGTGGCCGCTGCCAGGCAGGCAGCCCAGCACGAGGTACAAGGCTCCCTGGCCTGCCCTCACCTGGCCTGTTACCGGCTAGGTGGTGCCCGTGAGTGGGTCTCTCGGCTAAAACCAAAGTTATATTAGTGTCTATTTACAAAAATTACATTAATTCATACAAAATTAGGGTTCAGTAAAAAAAAAAAAAAGTCACGTCATTACTGAATAAACTATTTGGAAAGAGGAAGTGTGTGAGTGTGTGTATTACCATGTTATAACAAATGAGGCACCAATTTAAAGGTTTATTTGTAGTGTTCAGGTTATCTGTTTGACCAATATAAACCTGTGTACTGAGTGGGAAATAAAGCTTTCAAAATTTAAACACACACACACACACTATATGAAAACTTCCTTTTTTTTTTTCTAATTGAGATCTTTTCCATTTCCTTCAGTTCCTTTGCACCCGTCCATTGGTCTGGAAGTTACATGTTTATTAAATTTTTCTGTGTAATTAACAAAGACAAAATCAGATGCTGATTTTTTTTTCTTTCCTCCCATTATTTCCCTTTTTTCCCCATTAACTTTCCTTTCTCCCTAAGGACTTTGGAACATTCCCACTGAAGTTTCTTTGCAATTAGGCAATTTCATACAGAAAAGGCTCTTCACCTCCCAGCTGGCAGCCTTAGCTTTTGATGGCTGGCTTGTTTAGCTCTTCTCTTGACAACACTGTGACCTTCTTTAAGGAGTACCAACGGGATAAACGTTTTACTGTTGTGGAAAACACAGACCATTGGAGTTGAATAGGGCCTCAAAGAGGTTCAAACTGGTGCTTCTCAAAGTTTTCAGCAAGCCCAACAATAAGAAATATGCCTTGGGGTGCGAAGAGATGGGTTGGTGGTTATGAGGGCATGCCACACTTCCAGAGGACCTGACTTCAGTTCTCAGCACCCACATCAGGGGGCTCACAACTCTCTGTGACTCAGGCTCCAGCAGGTCTGGTGCCTCTGGCCTCCATGGGCACCTGCACTCACAGGCCCACACAAACATACTTTATCAAAACAATGACTTCTTAAAAATAGGGATCCACTGCTCCACGGCCAATATACCTTTATGCAATGACAACCATTCCCTTGGTCTGTGTGATATACTGAGTCATTTCATCCTATTGTACTCTCTTTTTTTAAAAAATGGTCCAAGTCCATTAAACTAATTATGCACCCACCAAAGGATTTGTGCCACAGTTTAAAATTTTAGATGTGCCCTAAAGTCCATGATGTACAGGGGAGGAAGCCCAGTCCCTACTCTGGGGCTGAGATCCCCAGGAGTTGTACCATAAGTGCACGGGAAGCCAGCTACCCTCCCTACCATTCACATCCAGCTTTTTACACACATGTTAGTCAGACCAGAAACAAACAAACAAACAACCCGCATGGGATGGGGAAAGCAGTAGTTTTTGGTAATGTGCAATTTTAAATTAGAGAACTAACCTCTACTCTTATCTCTTACACATCTAACCTTGGTCCAAGCAAAGCCACAGCTCAGAAGGTCAAACACAGTATTAGGGACCAGTTCTCATCGGCTCTGACCCTCATATACAGCCACATTTATGTGAACAACAAGGAGAAAACCTCCCGGAGATGCTTCTAACCAATGAGAGTAACCAGTTGTTGGTAGGGTTTTATAGACTCGTGTCTTCCTTTTTCCACGTTAGCTTTTAGCTCTGTGGCACTGTCTGGTACAACCCCAAGCACACTGTAAGCTTGAGATGAATGTTTATTGACTTGTAATAATGGCATTGTAAGGCCACTGAGAGAAGATAGCCACGTCACGGAGAGGAGATGGGTCTCATCACAGTGAAGAATGTCTTCTGTGGAGGAAGAACACACATTAAAATTAGGGGTCTCCTAAAACCTACTTATTATGGCCACAGTACGTAACTTTTCTACTGCCAATCTCTTGGCATGGTCCTGTGAGTTAATCAGGAAAAACATTTCTCCCACCGGGTCTGGCTCACAGTCGAATATAAAAGTTGGCTGCTAACTGTTGCCCAAGGCTATGTTAACCAAGCAGCAAAACATCAGACCTGTTCCAACATCACTGAGCTGACAGGTGAGGTCGGTGTGAGCCTGTTACTGGTGGATTGTGTTCGTGTTCCACTACGGTCTACAAAGCACAGCTCTATATCTATCGCACCACGAAAGAATTGCTTCTTGCAAAAGCAATGGAGATCACAGCAGATGATTAAGTAAATAGCCTGCAAATATGTCACAGAGAACAGAGCGCTCAGGAAGCCCCAGTGTGCGTTTGTGATGGATGGAACTTTTGACTTGATTAAAGTCTGAAGATAATGCCGCAGGAGCTGTGACTGCCTGCCCCTGACAAAACCTATTGTATAATGTTACTTGGTGGGGGCGGCGTGGCTTGTGGGGGTTGCGTGTGGGATGTATTAGTCATTGCTAGAATTTTTGAGAAAGCGTTTAGAAGGCCTGAAGTCGGGAACAGCAGCATGGGTAAGACTGTGAGGGTTGGAGTCCTGCACGCAGAGGCTGGGAATGTGAGTAACTACAGCAGCCTTCTAATGTGGTTCAGAAAACTGCTGGGGCTCGCCTATGGAGAACACTTTATAATTACTTTATAAAGGTTAGCCTTTATCAGTAATGAGACCTGGATGAGCAGATGGCCAGCAAGGTAGAACACCGGGGATAATCAAAGGGGGTCCCGGCCATTCACCTCTAACCCTCTTCTGAAAGATATAAGTTCCCTTGGCAGGTGACAAAACACGAAAGGCAGGGACAGAGACTCTGAGTCAGTATCCAAGGCCTGAGCAGCCCTTGCTTCTTCCTCTCCCCCCACAGGCGCCTTCGTGGTGTGCTGGACCCCGGGTCTGGTGGTGCTGCTGCTGGACGGCCTGAACTGCCAGCAGTGTAACGTGCAGCGCGTGAAGCGCTGGTTCCTGCTGCTGGCGCTGCTCAACTCCGTCATGAACCCCATCATCTACTCCTACAAGGATGAGGACATGTACAGCACCATGAGGAAGATGATCTGCTGTGCCCCGCAGGACAGCAGCTCCGAGAGGCGCCCATCCCGCATCCCCTCTACCATCAACAGCAGGAGCGACACCGGAAGCCAGTACTTGGAGGACAGCATCAGCCAGGGCCAGGTGTGCAACAAAAACAGCAACTAAGCCAACTCCTTGGCCCTCTTCCCCAGGGGAAGGAGCTGTTAAGAATCCTCACTGTCTCACCAAGCCCGTGGACAGAGTTGTTTGAGGTCTCCATGAATCACTGCTGGGGTTTTTAAGTTTTCATTGTCAAGAAAGATAAAAGACACTGTGTTTAGTGAAAGTGCGCAGAAAGGGGAGACACGACAGCAGGTCCCTACTTGTGGTCTATGAACTGCTCAAAACATCCTCCAGCTTGGGAGACATGCTGTGCTCCGCTGCCATCTTGCCTCCATTCTCTGTGTTTTGAAAGATGGTGTTGAAGGGTCTAGGTCAAAAGAAATAATAGATAATGGTACTTGAGCCTCCTGGTGTAGCTTCTAGACTCTATGTAGTTGTTTTTGCATGCATTTAAAAGGTTAAGAAATGTTTTAGCAGTGAGCTTTGTTTTCCCAAAGGAAGCCATGGCCAGGAGCTAGATGTACTGTAAGAACCTGGGAAAAACCGGTACAGGCTCTGGAGGAACTTAGAACCAAATGAACTTTCTGAGGAAAAAAAAAAAAAACATTTATGGAAAGGAACACTGCAAAGGTGAGAGTACGGAAGCAGCTCTGGGGTGTGAAGTTTTTGTCCTTTAGCATTTGCGGGGGCACGCTCTGCCTGCTCTACTTACACAATTCAACGTGTACAATTCGAAGAGGTCAGTCAGCAATGGAGAGCTTAATCGACTGCCTCCACTGCCTCCACTGCCTCCTACACTTTCCAGCCCAGGACAGTGGCTTGAGAAATTACCTAAACAAGAAAAGAAAATTCACTTCTAAACTGCCAACTGTATAGCAGAGTAAATGATGGTATTGACTGGCGAGCTGGACCTCTTCCAGATAGGGTCAAATATGAGCATGACTAGATACTCAGTCTTGGTTATCTGGATACTGCTGGTAGGTTTGCTGGATTCCATATGTATAGTAATTGCATGTCTAGTATTTTACCCAAAGCTGCCAACATACTTGTGAACTAAATCTTGATCTTATATCATTCTCCTTTGAAGACTTATAAAAGACAATTGAAAACAAAAACAGAGTTTCATACTCATAGGCTACTGACCAGTGTTTTCTATGTAAGAAATTTAGAGAATATTCTGACTTAAAATAAGACTAACTTCAAGGCAGGCACTATAGTATTTATGCAGTTTGCAAACGTTTACATCTTTTCTGTCTTTGCTGTTGTGATGTAACATTTATGTGCACAAACTACTTGTAATAAAAGAATTTAAGAAGTTGTGCTTTGAGATATAATGGCCTAAAATATAGAGCATTATGATTTGAAGGCTTAGATTTTACATGCTTGGCACCATAGGGGGGTGTACCCAAAGCTTATGTTAAAACTACCTGTAAAATAAAAAATTTAAAGGACCCATTCTCCCTTGATAAGGTCCATTATTGCTTTGTATATTATCTAAGCAAAAATACAGCTTGTGGTAACTGTGACTCACATTTCTATTGCCGAAGAAAAATCAAATTTGCCATGAAGTACATACTCTCAGTGTTTTATTCCAACTCTACAGCTGGCCAAAGGGTGGAGAATTGAAATTGAATTCCAGTCCCTGAATAGCTACTAAGGGATCTTTAAAGGTTTTATTTTGAGGCAAGAACCATTTTTAGTGACCTGCAGCCGAGTGTCATATTCAGAATGGTGTCTGGAGGGGATCCAAAATGTGGAAACACAGGGTGGAAAGATATAGCTTTTGTTTTTATGCTCACACACATCTCGAGAATGGCACAAGAACAGGGAATTCATTTATATTTGGAGATGATGGTTGGAGAGGTTGCAGAGTTCACCACGACCACTCCGAAAACCCAGCCTTCGGTGTGTGAGGGGAATGAATACGAAGAGAAACTTCCCCTCGCAGTTCTAAAGGTCCCGAGTCTGCAAGTCTTATCTGTATCCATTGCATTGGTCAGACTGAACATCTTACCCAGACTTTACCAGATCCATATTTGACTCCGAGCACAGGTCAAGCCAGACCTCATCTCTTTAAGTTTGTAGCATCATCTGTGGTGTTATGATCACTCTGTGTTGCTAAGAGAAATTAGTCCTGTGTGAAAACTGCTATCTTGGAAATGGACATCTTTTTGAAAGCAAGATTTTGAAATTTCTTGGCAAAGAATAATTTTCATTACAACTGAGTGGTAAATGTGGCTCCATTTGTGGGTTTTAGAAGCCCTGAGTTTGACTACAACAACAGAAGGGCCCTGATGGCATGCGTATGGTTCTAAATAAGGCCACCACTAACTCCCAACACGTGTGCCTCCGACTTTGTGAATTCATTTGTGAAAAACCAGTATCTTGACGCTTTTTCACAAATGCTGAAAGTCAAAATGGGTCAGTTTTGATGCGCTCTCTTCCCTAGTGTTCTGAGCACTTGCCCACCTTATATTAAGGCGGCCTGGGAGCAAGGTCCCCAGCTGTGTGGCAGCAAGTATGATCCTGTCCACAGGCAGCCATCGCCCCACGCAGGGCACAGTGTTTGCTAAGCTCTGTCTGTAGGAGAGGCTCACGGAGGTTGAAAGCATTTGTGCCTTTTAGCTCATTGGTCCTCTGATCACTCAAGGGCGATAAGACTATTTGGTCCTCTTTTCCTCCTTGGTGAATAAGTGTAATGAAGTTAAGCCCCGTAAAGATACCCATGAAGGTGACCTGGTGACAAACTCAAAACTCATTAGAACCTGGAATAAAAATAACCTCCACATCACCCTACAACATGATGCACCTCAGTGTGTCCTGAAGAGAATTCATGACACACACAGCCTTCCGACTTCAGGGAGCTTACCATAGAATCTCATTCTTTCTGTGGATCACTAAACATGCTGTTAAATTGGAAATCCCCAACGCTCCCTCCAGTTTCCTATATTGTCTTTCAGGGGTAGAAGCTGGGGTTGAAGTTGCTTAAAGATGAAGATTTTTAGAGTAAGAGAAAGCACATTTTGTGTGACAGATGCGCTACCAAACACATCACAAAATTTGCTCATAATTTAATATTAGTTTCCACAGAGATATAAATATTACTAGGCATGTAATTACCGTGGGTTTTTCTTCTTTGCTCTGCTGCTGTAATTTATTCATTTTCTCCACTGCGTCTTAGAGTGTGCTTTTTCTTAAATTATCAGTGACAGATTATTGATGACAGCTGTTGTTAGGGGTCTGGAGTTTTATCATCTGTAATATCTGGAGTAAGGTTTACACACAAACAGTAACGCATGGAACATTGACTCATGTGCAGAAGGTTCAGAGCACATACATGAAAGTGGGTGCTCCACCACTCTGTGGAACACGGTGACCGTGGGTGACAGTCAGTGATCACCAGTCCAACCAACTTTTGGATGTTGCAGTTCAAGGCTGTTTTTAAAATTTTGCAATTTTATGCAGTAACACATAGTATTTTTCTGTACCGGTAATCTCAAGCTTGTATGACCCAGCTTCCATAAAATGCACCCGCCCTTTATTTGTTGTTGAGTTTAGCGCTTGCACATCATACAGTAAGGTCGATTAAATCAAAAGGGGAGAGCTCTGTACCACATTCTGTGCTGCATAGTTGTGCACATTAGGGAGAAATGTCCGCTACTTCCTGAAGTCACTTTTATGTTTTTTATGTGTGCACATTTGTTCTCGTCTGTGCATTTTCATGTGCAGGTATGTATGCATTTCATGCATTTCATGTGCAGGTATGTATGCACACGTTTATTTACTAATGAGAAGGCCAGATGTCAGGATGACAATGACATGTCACTCGTCAGGACACGGCCAACCTTGTTCTTGAGAGAGGGTCCCTCACCGACCTAGAGATTGCTTATCAGCACCATTATCGGGTTATAAAGCCAACATCCAAAAGTATTTTTTGCATACAGTGAACTAATAGTGAACTTGCTCAGAACTTGCCCAAGGTATAAAATAAAAAATTTAAGATGCTATGATAAGAAATGAAGAAGTACTAAGTGAAGATTTTCCATGCTCCTGGACAGGCAGTGTCAGTACATGATTATGGCTATATATCCCCAAAGGTAACCTATACATTTGATGCAGTACACATCAAAATTCAAATGACATTCTTTGTGGTCATAATTAGTATACAACCTTGGGCAATATATCTTGACATCATCCATTCTTCGTGTCTCTAGCACCTTGACACAACACAATGAATCAGAAAGGTGGGTATAAAATTCAGACATGCAAAGTCATTAAAAGTAAGACTTACTGTTCCTGTGATTTTCAAAGAGAGCAGATTGAACCGCTTACAGAACGAAGCAGTGTTCCATCTGAGGAACAGAGCATGGGGGTGCTGTTGCTGTCATTCTGAGGGAGAGCAACACTAAAGGCTCTTCATTTGATAGCAATGAGAGCGTGACTAATCACCTGGGAGGAGGACATTGTCACGGAGATTGTCTGTACATAACACCGAGGAAACTAAAAACCACAAGACTGAATGAGCCTTCAAAATAAATTGTGACTAAATCCTGAGTAGAATGTATTTAAGTTCCCCCAAGATCTTCTCTATTAAAAAAAAAAGTCAGTTTCTTAATAACTACGTATAACTTCAGATTCTGAAAGCCAATGTTTAATAACTTGTTACCCTAATGAAGAAAAGGCTTTTACTCTTAGAAATAATCCAGTTTGGGGGAATATATGCTAAGGAAATGAATCCAAACTGGGAAAGGGCTTTGCACATTAAGATGGTTGATACAGCATGATGTATGGTAAGTAGGAACTTCTCAGCTATGTAAATACCCAAGTGTGTGATGTGAGGACCACAGCTCAGGCCACCATCGTGGCTCTTTCCTACGCTAGCAAGGTGATGTCCATAAGTTACTCTCTGCCTTAGTTTATCTATCTTTAAAGAGGGTAATAATTATATCTTCTATGGCTTTTTGGAGCTTCAGGTAATCATAGCTTAAACACATAGGAGAGGGTTTGGCACTGGGAATACATAGTTATTGTTATTGGTAGAATGTTGTTTGGTAATTTAAAATTACAGGCATGAATAATCTAATATACAAACATGTGTATTATAGACTTTTCTGACAGACTGAATACTGTATAAAGAAGTGTGTCTTAAGAATGATATGAAGGTAATGCTGCTTCCCCCTCGGGGGGAGGTAATTAAAGAGCAGGCCAATCAGTTCATGTCAGAGACAGTTCCTGTTCCTATTACAATGGAACCCACTTGGATACTGAACTGCCATGGGCTACATCTGTGCAGGGGTCTTAGGTTATCTCCATGCATAGTCCTTGGTTGGAGTATCACTCTCAGGAAAGACCCCTGTGCTCAGGTTTTTTGGTTCTGTTGCTCTCCTTGTGGAGTTCCTGTCCTCTCCAGATCTTACTGTTTCCCACTTCTTTCCTAAGATTCCATGCACTCTGCCCAAAGGTTGCCCATAAGTCTCAGCATCTGCATTGATAGTCTGCAAGGCAGAGCCTTTCAGAGGTCCTCGTGTCAGGCTCCTGACTTGTTCCTTCTTTTCTCCTTCTTCTGATATCCATCCTCTTTGCCTTTCTGGATAGGAATTGAGCATTTTAACAAGAGTCCTCCCTCTTGATTAGTTTCTTTAGGTGTACAGATTTTAGTAAGTTTATCCTATATTATATGTCTATATGAGTGAGTATATACCATGTGTGTCTTTCTGCTTCTGGGATAGCTCACTCAGGATGATCTTTTCCAGATCCCACCATTTACCTGCAAATTTCATGATTTCCTTGTTTTTTGCAATGCAGCCACTCCTGATGAGACCTAATTGACTAGGATCAGAAGGAAGGAAAAGAAGACCTCCCATATCAGTGAACTTGGGAAGGGGCATTGCATGCAGAGGGTGGAGGAAGAGAGGGATTGGGGCGGGAGGAGGGAGGGAACCACAGGGGGGATACAAAGTGAATAAAGTGTAATTAATAAAGAATTAAAAAAAACAAAAAACCCTATAAAATAAAAAATATTAGCAGTTTCATACATAATCAAAAATTTTGTTTGTAAGTACATGAATATATTAATATTTGAACTTTTAAACATTGTTTTTAGAAATTTCATTTAAGTTGTATACTGGAATTACTCCAGGACTCTTTCAATATAATTGATCATGTCTATGAAAAAAAAAAAAAAAAAAAAAAAGAATGACGTGAAGGGAAGGGAGGGGGCACCCTCAGGATGTAAAGTAAATAAACTAATAAATGAAAAAGAAAAAAGAAAAGAAAAAAAATGATGTGAAGGGCATGGGTCAGAGCTCCTACGAAAGTGGGACTGCTTTTTGCAGAAATAGGACACCAGAAACACCCATGTGGGATGATTAGAATTCAGTTTTAGTTGTGACATCTGGGGTTATGGAGACAGGACCAGGTGGAGATGGCAACAGGCAGCCAGGTAAACACATCTAGATGGGAGGTTTCCGTCTCAGAGACACTTGTGTGTGAATGGCA